TCCACATAAAGGAGGAACAGGAGGAACTCTGGACCACCGTGGAGGGAGAGCAGCTCAGTGTGAAGGAGGAGACTGATGCTACAGAGTTATCATTCACTGCAGTTACTGTGAAGAGTGAGGATGATGAAGAGAAGCCTCTGTTCTTTCAGCTTCATCAGCAACAAATGGACAACAGAGATGATCCAACCAGCAGCTCAGCTGAGCAGATGAAAGTAGAAGCTGATGGAGAGGACTGTGGAGGAGCAGAAACCAGCAGTAACCCAGATTTGAATCCTCATGAAGATGCTTCCAGCTVTTCAGAGACTGAAGTCAGTGAGAATGATGATGAAGAGAAGGAGGATGGGAACAATCTTGGTACTCAGCTGGAACACTTGTCAGACTCTGGATCAGAAACTGAAGACTGCGAGAAAGACTGGGATGAGAGCAGTGCTCCTGAGTCAGGGTTAAACTGTGTCAACAACAGATTCTGCTGCTCTGAGTGTGGTAAACAATTTCTCCACAAGCGCTCCCTTCAGAGACACATGACAAGTCATTCAACAGTAAGACGGTCAAACTGTTTGAGTCATAAGAAAAGTGTCAGAGAAAAAAAACATGCAGAGCCACGTGGAGAAGTCCAGACAAAACCCAAATCATTAAATTGTGAAGAATGTGGTAAAATATTTACCAAAAAATCTAAATTAAACCGTCACATGAGAGTCCACACAGGAGAGAAACCATTTGTATGTGAGGACTGTGGCCATAGATTTTCACAGAAGGGTAATTTAAACGCACACATGAGAGTCCACGCAGGACAACAACCATTTGTGTGTGAGGACTGTGGACATAGATTTAGCTATAAATCTTGTTTAAACAAACACATGAGAGTCCACACAGGACAGAAACCATTTGNTCCAGTGATCAGAATCCAAATATACTGTATATCCAGCTAGTTGAACAGAGCAGAACAGAGGTCCCACCTTTGACATGTCCTCCCACGGAAAAAAATTGTTCCAAAAATTAATTAAGAGACCAGCTAACCAAATCCATAAAAATAATTCCACAATTTTTTTGTTTCGGATGAAAACGTAAAGGAGGCTTCAAGCAGCAAAGCAGGGAAAGATAAGGGAGGCCAGGAGAGAAGGAAAAAGTGCCTTACTCCTCCGAGAGCAGGAAATAATTAATTACTAGTTGTAAATTTTTTCTGATGCAGTGGCGTGCCATCTCCAGCAGATGGCGATCCAKGCAGCTGCCAAGGTTGCCTATACCAAGTGAAATACCGCCCAATCTACTACTGTCGTGCATGTTGAATTGTATAGACTGTCTGCAATTTACACGGATTTTCCATAATTTTGCAGGTATACGGACGTATACAGCAATCTCATGGATTTTTTCATGTTTTACAGATTTTTTCAAAAACTCAGTTTCAAATTTATTTAACACGTCAGAGCCTGTAAGATGTTAAAAAACAATAACATTAAATATCCACTTCCAACCCACTCTGCTGCTACAAATAAGTTCTTCCATCCTCATTCTTCTGATATTGCTGCACCCTGCCCCTCCCCTCCGCAGCTGACAGTCTGCCTGCAAGTGAGTTAAACAAAACTTTTTAATAACAAACCCTGGAACTATTCAGTTTAAATTCTGTGTGAACTGTTGAATCTCTTTAGGACCTGATTTAATATTCAAAGATAAACTGCTTTTCTGTTCTGTGTGGACTCTCATGTGTTTGTTTAAATTTGATTTTTGTGCAAACTTTTGTGCAAACCTTCGTTCACAACGATCACAAGCAAATGGTTTCTCTCCTGTATGGCCTCTCACGTGTTTATTTAAATGTGACTTTTCTCCAAACTTTTGCTGACAATGATCACAAGCAAATGGTTTTTGTCCACTGTGGACTCTCATGTGATAGTTTAAATGGGACTTTTGTCCAAACCTTCGTTCACAAAAATCACAGGCAAATGGTTTCTCTCCTGTTTGGATTCTCATGTGATAGTTTAAATGCGACTTGTCTCCAAACCTCTGTTCACAAAAATCACATATAAATGGTTTATGTCCTGTGTGGATTCTCATGTGTGTTATTAAATTTGACTTTTGTCCAAACTTTCGTTCACAATAATCACAAGCAAATGGTTTCTCTCCTGTGTGGACTCTGATGTGTTTAAAATGGACTTCTGTCCAAACCTTTGTCCACATTGATCACAAGCAAATGGCTTCTCTCCTGTGTGGACTCTTATGTAATACTTTAAATTTGACTTGTCTCCAAACTTCCGTCCACACTGATCACAAACATATGGTTTCTCTCCTGTGTGGATTCTCATGTGTGTACTTAAATGTGACTGTCTTCCAAACATTTGTCCACAATGATCACAAGCAAATGGTTTCTTTCCTGTGTGGACTCCCATGTGTGTGTTTCTCTGAGATTCTGTGTGAAATGTTTTTCCACACTCATCACAACTAAATGGTTTTTTCATTGACTGGAATGTCTTGCTAGAACCTCCAATTTTCTTCACTCTGAAACGTTTCTGTTTAACCAAACAGCTTATAGACATCTTTGATTGGCATGTCATGTGAAATTGTTTTCCATGCTCAGAGAAGCTGCAGAAGTTGTTTACAGATTTTACACCTGACTCAAGAGCCCTGCTCTTCTTCCAGTCTTTGNTTTAAAAACACACATGAGAGTCCACACAGGACAGAAACCGTTTGTATGTGAGTACTGTGGACAAAGATTTAGCTTGAAGGCTAATTTAAATAGACACATGACAGTCAACACAGGACAGAAACCAATTGAATGTGTGGACTGTGGCCAAAGACAAGTTAAAACAGACACATGAGAGGCCACACAGGACAGAAACCGTTTGTTTGTGAAATCTGTGGACAAAGATTTATTTATATACTTTAGCTTATTGATTTCATTTTAAAAAGCAACAAATTCCATATACAGTAAAATTACAAATGTCGAAATGAAAGACAGCAGAAAGAAGAAAAAACATTTTCTGCCCCTTTAAAAAAATTCTTAATGATAATTTATTAATTTGAAAACAAGTTTTTGGTTTCAAATTCTGTCTGCATCATCTCCAACATCTGTTCTATATTTTTACCCAAACAAAAAAGAGTAGTATCATCTGCTAATAAAACAATTAAAAAGCCCTGACACATTTACCAAGTCATTCACATATAAAATAAATAACTTATGTCCAAGTACAGAACCTTGAGGAACTCCACATTTGATGTTACAGAGTTCATATCTGACATCATTTATTTCAACGAACTCTTTCCTATTTTTCAAATGGCTAAATACCCATTGTAGGGCTGGTTCTCTAATGCCATATTTATTCAGCTTTTCAAGGAGGGTACTATGGTCAGTGGTGTCAAATGCTTTCTTTAAATCAACATAAATACTAGCACAGTGCTGTTTTTGATCAACAGCAGTTATTTGTTCTATCAATTCCCTGAGAGCCATTGATGTAGAATTTTTAGCTCCAAACCCATACTGACTGCTACTTAAAATATTTTGTGTATCGATAAATTGATCTAATCTAGTCACAAATAAATTTTCTAAAATTTTTGAAAACTGGTAACAAGAATATTGGTCTGTAATTATTGAACATACATTTCTCACCATTCTTAAAACTAGGAATTACCTTAGCTATTTTCATATTATCTGGAAATATACCTGTTAAATGATAAATTACATATATACTGTATACTCACACAGTAAAGAAACCAGTAAAAGATAATGGATGTTCAGTAGGTTGGCTCAATAACACAGTTCATTATATCTTTGACAAACATCATATCCATGTCCACTGAATCTTTTGATATTTTGTCTGCAAGATTTTTTTACAATGTTCAGTATTTCTTCTTCTTCTTCTTCTTCTTCTTCTTCTTCTTCTTCTTCTTCTTCTTCTTCGTCTTCGTCTTCGTCTTCGTCTTCGTCTTCGTCTTGTCAGTTCCAACAAGAAAAATATTGTTTGTACAATTGGTAACTGTATGACTCACATTATTATTTACTTTTGGTATTTTAGCTTCAAGACTTGGGCCAACATTCACAAAATAATGATTAAATCTATTTACAATTTCATTCAGACCATGTTTTTCAGTGGTGTCCAAAGTCAGTCCTCAGTCAGTGTCCTGAATGTTTTAGGTGCTGCCCTGGTTCAACACAGCAGAACCTAAGGAGTGCTAAATTAGTAGGCCTTCTCAGTACGCCATCAAGGTCTGCAGAGGCSTACTAATTAAGCACTCYTTAGGTTCAGCTGTGTTGTACAAGGACAGTTCCTAAAACATGCAGGACACCAGCCCTTGAGGACTGACTTTGGACACCACTGATGCAATTCATTGTCATACTTTACAAAATATTGTGAAATACCTGATTGTATTTTATGATTTTTCAGAACACGATTCATTACTTGCCATGTTGCTCTTACATCACCATTACTTTTGTTAAATAAATCACTGTAATATGCTTTTTTATAATCTGTACCAACTTATTTTTATGCTTCTTTTTTTCCCTCAATTTCAGGAAGCATGAATACAAGTAATACCTTTTTTAAGCATTCCTCAACCCTGTTCATCATCCATGGTTTGTCAACAATATTTCTCTTTGCATAATTTTTTGCACACAATTGTTTTTATACAGAGCTCCTAAAATATAGATATAGATACATAAACACATCATATGTTCTGTTTACATCATCCCTTCAGAGACACATGACAAGTCATTCAACAGTAAGACGGTCAAACTGTTTGAGTCATAAGAAAAGTGTCAGAGAAAAAAAACATGCAGAGCCACGTGGAGAAGTCCAGACAAAACCCAAATCATTAAATTGTGAAGAATGTGGTAAAATATTTACCAAAAAATCTAAATTAAACCGTCACATGAGAGTCCACACAGGAGAGAAACCATTTGTATGTGAGGACTGTGGCCATAGATTTTCACAGAAGGGTAATTTAAACGCACACATGAGAGTCCACGCAGGACAACAACCATTTGTGTGTGAGGACTGTGGACATAGATTTAGCTATAAATCTTGTTTAAACAAACACATGAGAGTCCACACAGGACAGAAACCATTTGCATGTGAGGACTGTGGACGAAGATTTAGCCGTAAGGGTAATTTAAAAACACACATGAGAGTCCACACAGGACAGAAACCGTTTGTATGTGAGTACTGTGGACAAAGATTTAGCTTGAAGGCTAATTTAAATAGACACATGACAGTCAACACAGGACAGAAACCAATTGAATGTGTGGACTGTGGCCAAAGACAAGTTAAAACAGACACATGAGAGGCCACACAGGACAGAAACCGTTTGTTTGTGAAATCTGTGGACAAAGATTTATTTATATACTTTAGCTTATTGATTTCATTTTAAAAAGCAACAAATTCCATATACAGTAAAATTACAAATGTCGAAATGAAAGACAGCAGAAAGAAGAAAAAACATTTTCTGCCCCTTTAAAAAAATTCTTAATGATAATTTATTAATTTGAAAACAAGTTTTTGGTTTCAAATTCTGTCTGCATCATCTCCAACATCTGTTCTATATTTTTACCCAAACAAAAAAGAGTAGTATCATCTGCTAATAAAACAATTAAAAAGCCCTGACACATTTACCAAGTCATTCACATATAAAATAAATAACTTATGTCCAAGTACAGAACCTTGAGGAACTCCACATTTGATGTTACAGAGTTCATATCTGACATCATTTATTTCAACGAACTCTTTCCTATTTTTCAAATGGCTAAATACCCATTGTAGGGCTGGTTCTCTAATGCCATATTTATTCAGCTTTTCAAGGAGGGTACTATGGTCAGTGGTGTCAAATGCTTTCTTTAAATCAACATAAATACTAGCACAGTGCTGTTTTTGATCAACAGCAGTTATTTGTTCTATCAATTCCCTGAGAGCCATTGATGTAGAATTTTTAGCTCCAAACCCATACTGACTGCTACTTAAAATATTTTGTGTATCGATAAATTGATCTAATCTGGTTTTTAATCCGCCCTGTGATGGACTTGCGACCTGTCCAGGGTGTACCCCGCCCCTCGCACTGTGAC